ATTGTAAAATCGAAGAACCAGATCGCCGCGATAGGCGGACGCTCGTTTCAATACCAGAGGCGAGACAGGATTGACAAATGCGGGGCAACGCGCGTGACCTTTGACATCGCGGATTTATTCGTGGAGATCGTTCGATCCCCCGTACGCTCCATCCTATAGAATTGAAGTAACGCAGATAAGGACCCATTTCCGAAATTCCCGAAAAAAAAAGAAGAAGAAGAAGAAGAAGAAGGTTCTGCACTTGAAAAAGAAGAGCACGCTATCGCGAACTGGATGCAAGAGGGACGATCGAGAGGGCTCGAAGTGATTCTCGGGATTTCTTGTCTGGCCACGTGTCCCCTTGGGGCCGAATCGTCGCATCTCTTATCAAAGTGTCAACTCTCGAAAAGGAATCCTCGAAGAAGTGGTCGTGACGCCTCGCTCGGCGAGATATCGTTAACTCGGTGGCGTTCATTAGCAAGTGTTCGGAGCATCGGCAAAATGTGAACCCGTGTGTTTGAGGCGGATAGACGAGTGTCGCGTGCTCGCCTAATCGAATCGCGAAAATCGCATTGTCAACGCCAGACGGCGTCGAGGCGAGACCGGGGAGGTCGTGACAAAATGCCAGAGGCTACGCTGGAAATGTTCCACGGAGTTCAGGTTGGTTATATTTCCTACTTAACGGTTAACGGATGGCTCCATCATCTGTTAATTTTCAAGCGACTTTGGCCTAGCCGCCTAAGTCGGATGGGTACGTGCGATTTAAAGCCGCGTACTCGCGCGCTGCTACCTAATTACGCGGCGAACGGTGCCGTTTTTCTCCAGGGAAAGGTGCCTTTAGCAATGCGGTAATGCCATGGCTGTTATTTCGCAACGCCAATAGAAGTCGCATTGGAATTACGCGCGGGAAGTCACAGAAGGAATTCGAATAAATTCGCTTTTTGTTTTTGAAAAATTAGCTGGAGGTCGTGGGGCGGCATTAGTTGGGGTACCATTTGTTAGGATACCATCCGTTAGGGAGCCATTCGTTAGGATATGAATGGCGTGAAGTCTCGGTGATTCGAACAAAAATACATTTTAGCTTGGGTATATCGTGGAGATGATGGTGAATGGACGGACATCTTTTTGGTTGGTTTGGAAAATAATCCGGGAAAGAGCTGATGCGTGTATGGAGGGATGGAGCGTATAGGTGGAAAGACTCGACCAGCGTGTTGGGCTAAATCAAAATCAAGAAATTCTCGTTCTGCTGGAACGGCTCCAAGAAACGATGAAATATCACGGAATCGATTCCGACTTGGCGGGACGAGTGGGCGAGTTGTTGACAAGAATCGAATTCGCTTGTCCTGGAAAAGAAAGTGATTTGGTTTACGATGCGGACGGTCAAGGTTGGGGGAATGTGGGTATTTCATTTTATTGAACTGTGGGTACACTTTGTGTACCGGGAATTGTGTATATGCTTTGTACCGCTGTTTAAACCCATTTGACGTAGCTCGAAAATAATAGATGCACTTGGTCGATCCTTTCTATGTCTTGCTCGATATTCTTCGACTTTTAATTGTTGAAATGATACTCTTGGCATGGTGGTACGTGTACATTTATGTGTCATGAACGAAGCTCGTTTCTAAATGCGAAACGCTTTTTTTATAGAGTTAATTGCTATTTATATTCATCTTTGTGTGTTAATATTTGCTTAAAAGATTCCGTAAGTGTTGATGCGTCATTCTCTCAGTTAATTATTGACATTTACAGGGCAATACCCAGTACCGAAGAAAGTAGCTGATGTCGACTGCGTAAGCGCACTTCATGAAAGAATACTTAGAAATAATTAATAATTCTGTTTAACTTAGTTTAAATCTATATTTCATTGTTTCTGTTATTTGTCAAACATTTCTAAGAAAGAGTCCCACAATCCTTGCTCTAATAACGTTTAACGATTCAAATAAACATTGACAGGATGAACGAAATTAAAGATAAATAATAAAACTTATTGGTGGGGCCATTTTAAAAAGTCTTTCGTTTATCCATGTGTGGTGAAACTATAGATGTAAATTGACGAAATTCCATGATTCCGATTACATCTACATTCTTTCGCACCTGCGGATAATAATTCTTACTTTCATATCTCGGTTCTTAATACTTACACATGTATAATTGACCCCGTACGGCAATGCACATTCCAACTCCTCTGTGCGCGTTCCGAACGGTTTAATTCGTACTTATTCTTTAAGTTATACCGGCAGGTGAAAGTAAAACACGAACGTGAAACCTCCGAACGGTGTTTCACTTCTCTACCACATATGAAGTATCCGCAATCGATACGATGGTGTATGATATATCGAAGTATGTGTGATTAAATTTTCCTCATTCCCGGGAGTAAACAATAGGAAATATTTCCTCGGATGATATCGATTAAGGAATTTTACGAATCTGACAAATCTGGGGCCAACGGAATTTAAAGCAATAACGGAATACGTGAAAATTAGCCAAAAAGATAGGCAATATCTTGTAAAAGAAACTTGAGGAGTAGTAGGTACCATGAACCGGTATAGTAGGATGAAATGTCAATGACTCCTGGTGGACGGAGTCACGTCCTGAATTATTCGGCCCTCTTTCCCATCCTTAAAAATTCAACGTCCCTTGCATTACGGAGCGTGCTTCTTCAAGCGTTTTATGTGTGCTGAAAACATTGAAATTCCTAAACGAGACGTTCCTTTTTGGCTAGGAAAAGTAGTTCATTTACCTGGATCCTATGTTTGGTCATTAGCATTCCCGTTGAAGGTCCGTTGCCACGCACGTTATATCTTTTTTAAATCGACAAAAAATTAATTTCCACAAAGGTTTTAGTTTTATTAAAAGTTTGTTTCTTGTGTGAACGTTGAGAAAGAATTTGCACTGGGCCTGCAGACGATCATAAAATGATCCTACCAGTCGCCTTAACGCATACAAAAACTCCGAGGGTTTCATTCCTAAAACGGAGGACCGTGAAAAGAGAATACTCAGTCATTACGACCCTAGAATTTTGATATCTCTTCTTTTTCTGCCCATAATGGCGAATACCCTAAGGGGCTTTCTCTCTTGTGGACAAACATCAACCCCTGACGCTTCTTTTTTTTTTTCCACTCGGTCGAGAATCAACCGAGAGAAATTGTTATTTATCCGCATAGCACCAAATGAAATCATACTTGGACTCGTACAGCTCGAAGGGGAGGATGTAAAGGGGGAATAGAACATACTCATCTGACTATGTCCTATGAAGTGAGACACATCTCCTTTTCCAGTGACATAATGGCGCCCGAAGACCCTGAGGGTTTCATTCCGCAAAGGCGGAGGCTGCGGAACGGCATTCGCCTGAAGAACAATAAAGAGGACCCTGCTAGCCTATGACAAGAATTTCATTTCCTTTTTTCCCTCGGAAGGCTTTGCTCGACTTGACGTTGCTTCCTATAGATATGTCATTCAATAGAAAGAATTCACAAGTTTTCCCTATCCTTTCTTCAGCTAACATCCAGGGTAGCTAAAAATGCGATGCAGGCGGAATATTTATATAAACTACTTTTACATTTAAAAGTCTCTGCGTAGGCTCCACGCGTTGAAAGAGAAACTTTTAAGTTAAAGAGAATTATTAGATATTATTACTTTTTTTTTCACAAAATGCCCTTGCATATTCGGTACTGATTGTTTTCGGCATAGTTGTTTTTATCTCTTAGTCGTATTACTTTTATGTCACATTAAATGATAATTATTAGCTACGAAATAATTATCGAAAACATTTACGCAAATTGTGTTAATACTAACGGGCGGAGATAAATGTAAATATTAATCAACTGATAAAAAACAAAGAAAAGTGTTCCACTTTCTGAATCGGGAACCTTTTGGCATGCGAACCTACAGGTGTTACAAGGTTACAAGAATTTTCACTTAAAAGTTATTTATAAAAATTACAATGATCTGTGTTAAGTCATCAATAATTAGCAGAAAAGTATACGCCGAGAGTGTTAATAAAAAGGTTCATATATTTCAGATGTTTTAAAGCCTTCGGATTACCGGGTTAAGAAGACAGTTCTTTTGCTGTTCATAATAAGGGAAAGTACTTGTAAAGCGATAGGGTCCCTCCGCAGTAAAAGTCTTTACGAGGCTGTTAATAGATTGCAGCAATAAGAGTACGTTTCCGAGAGATGCTGCTTATAACGTTAATACAGAAGAGTGATTTACGGGATCCGGGTGGTCAGGAAAAGGGAACTACTGTATTCGGGTGATTCTCGACAATGGGGGAATGTGGGACGTGATTCAATCGAAGAGTCAATCGCTTATCTTAGGTTTGTAGGTCGGTCGATAAGAGGAATTCAGGGATCCTTCATGTAACAATGGTGCCCTCTTCGGTTTGTTTCAAGAGATCACTCGGGGTATGAGCCCCGAGTAATGCTCGAAATAATTTAATTACTATCGAGTAAAATTTCATAAATGGTAATTTTTGACGAATTATTAAATGATGATTAAAATATCGGACATATAGGTATGGTCGTTTATGAAAATGCATTCCTTTCAATTTTCTTTGTTCAAGATTATTCGGGCTAGAACTTGTGCTGAAATAATTCGTTCTCTGCAATTCCCTCCTTCTGCTTGGGGACTAATGAAGCCTACCTATATACAGCATTCAATTCCATTTGTCGTAATCCTTTCCTCGATTAGAAACTTATATTGCAATGTAATCTCGGGATCAACTCGTAACGTAGTTCCTTGTTATACTTGGATAACTTTGCAGGGAATAAAGATGGGCAATCTCGGAGTTCAAAGTTGGCAAGTAATCATCGGACAGAGGCGGTGCAATTCGAAATTAAAAATTGCCCGCTAACCATATTACACCGTTGTTAACGTATCTCGGAATTACGGACATAACGTTTTTAAATTGGTTGCCGGACCTACGATCTTACTTAGCTATCTCTGCACCTGTAGAATATTCTTACAACGTGTATAACGCATTATACGTCATTTATACCGATTGGTTTTATTTTTCTTTTCAGTACATGGGTTCGTTTCCCGTGGCGTGTACCGATATTGCCAGCCGAGTAGAATTCGTGCGCTCCCAGCTCCAGATTCTCAGAGTGAGTACAATTTCAAAATTCTACCATTCAACTAGGTATATGAAATCTTAAGGTGAAGTGAAACCCTCCCTCAAATCAGTCGACTCGAATAAGACACTTTTTTTCAAGGGTATTGGATCGCCCTGTCTGAACTCGCATTTGAACGGGATAATGAGAAAAAAAAGTGTCTTATGCGCTTCTTTACCAATTAGGACCTTTGTCAATTAGGGCCTCAGAAATCATGAATCCAGGGGATTTGTGGATTACTTCGATTCCTTCATAATCATTATACATAAACGATTGGCGGAGTATGCCATTTAGTACAATACCCAATATAATTCGATACAATTGTCAATATAGAAACGAAAGTCGGCAACGTAGGTGCTTAGAAAAACCTTTTTTACCGACGTCGATCAACTTACTCGAGGTGTTTCATTTCACCTTAAAATATTGATACCGCTTATATGGCTAATCTATAAAATTACCTTAAGAATATTAAATGTATACCGTGGGTTATTAATATTTATCGCGGCAGCGTTCCCAAATAAAATTAGCTCGATCGATTATCGATCGGTGCGCGTCTTCCATCGATAAAAAGGGCCGAGGGAGAAACCGTAGAAATTGTCTTCCCCGGCATCAGTTGCGCTCACGGAGCCTGCAATGGCGTCAATAGCCGGGGGTCTTCCAGAACAAGACGGATTATTCCGGAACGCCTGGCTGCATAATATGAATCAATAAGATTCCATCCAGGATAATGGCCTGGCGTGCTCGCGCCATACTTTCAGTCTGTTTATTTTCCGGTTTTGCGGGGGACATAGCCACGGTGATTTCTTGATTTTACATTCAAATTCGATCTAAGTGAATTCTATGGACTCGAAGAATCGACGGACCAGCGACATTCCCGAAGGGATTAATGCTAAACACGGCATCGGACAGTTATACATAGGTATGAGAGAAGTATAGTTAGCGGATGCGAGTACACTTTCGACAAGTCCCCTTATGTCCGCGTTATTCTCCGATAACAAATTACCCTGAATTTTCAATAGCCGGTTGCGAGCAAGTAGATCGGTACGGTGCCATGAAATTCCCTGCTCACGAAGACGCAAGTTTTTCCTTCGTGCATTAACATTTGCAGCTCACGAGGTGACTTCCCAGAAGTCCTCTTACTTCTGTGTTATTTTTCCATAACAAGTGACGGTGAATCTTTATCGTCCGGTTGCAAGCAAGTAGATCCCCCATTGAATCACAAAGTTGCTTACGCAGAGTGAACTTTTTCACCGTGCAAGTGGATACACATTTGGGGATCGTGATCTCATTTTCGAGATATCTCATTATGTCAGTTTCTCATCGTCGGAAGACATCGACATTTGCCGCTTAAGTCAATGCCATCGGATTGTTGTACGGGTTGATATCGATTATTAGCAAACGCGCGGCAAATGCCGTGGCTGGCTCCGTTACTGGATGGAATTTAACGAGAGTATGAAATAATATCTGGCGGCATTCCTAGTGCTGACGGGTTTCCATTAAATGGACGGTAGGCAGATTACGGGGCCGCATTTTACGTGAGCACGTGCGGGAGTAAACGCGAAGACCCCTTCGGACCGCGACGAAGCAGCCCCGTCTACGTTCTTTATCAAAAGCTGGAAATATTCGTGACTGATAGGCGTATTAAACTGTCAGATCGCCCACCAAGGAGGAGGCAATATTTAAATCATAAAGGAAAAAAATTTCAAGGGAATTCCTTATCCGAATTTTTCAATTTCGAATTTTAATCTTAGATTTATGTACACTTTAGTAGTCATATTCGAGTATGTCGGACGTTCGCATGGCAGTGCTCTTTTCTCGACGACGTATTTTTTTTAAGTGTTTCTTCTTTGAATACTGGCTTAAGGGGGCTGCTATCACTTCACGGTGTTAACAATACCTATTTCTTAGATAGGTATAGGAAAAGAAAAATGAAACGCAACAATTAAATACAGTTTAACCACTTGTGCTAACAACTAATTCACAGAAGCCGCATGTTCTGTCAACATGTGTCCAAAATATGAACCGTGCCAAAGGGACCAAAATCTTTAATGTATGATATCTCACGAGAAAGTATGTACTATGGTATTTTCTGGGAAACGGCTTTAATGTTTCAAAACAGCTCTTCACGTACAATAATATATAATTAAGTCAACATATACCTAAAACTATGGTTAAAAACAGGCTTAATCTATACTTGAATTTTGCATATCATTGTTTTCTGTACCTATCGGAAGAATGGGTATTTTCAATATTCAATAGGTATGAGTCCCCTTAATCGTACGACTTAGAGATATTTACAGTCATAAATTTAAAACGCCACTTCACTCAGCTCCTTCTCGCCTGCATTTCAATGTTTTACAGCCTGATACCTACAGAGCAGAAAATAGCACGAAAGATAATGGCAACGCAAATTAGTCGTGAAATTATTCATATTATCTGGAAGCTCAAAAGCACTTTTAGCAATGTCAACCTACCGATCTTCGGAAGCTGCTCCTCGCTGCTCTCATGTATAATTAATGGCCGATTTGTTCGCCTATTCTTAATGCGCGTGCACGCACCCGAGAAACGCTCACGGGGATCAGATTTTTAAGCTGCTTTTACGTAATAGCCCCGGGGAGTTAGGTAAATGTAATGAGGCGAATATTACACTTGGCTGCTCCCGAGGCCGCTGATGCTCCCAGAGCAAAGGCGCTTCCTATTTATTTTGCACAACAATGCGCCCAAGGAAGCAGCACGAGTGTTACGACGGACGGTAAAGTGACAACCATTGTGCCGACATATTGCCGGAAGTACGAGGTAGCCGCTGGCACGAGGACGAAATTCGTCATACGACATTTGCGGTACTCGAATTGGGAATGCCGACCCCCTTCAAGAATGCAATGTTAAAGTGCTCTTTCTTGTTTTTAAACCTGTTATAAAAAGTTTTGCTTTCAACCGTGCCAGTATAGAGACGATTGTTGTGCTCGCCAAATACACCCGCAGAGAAAAGTTGTTCATCGAACAAAATTGTTTGACTGAATTCGATTCACTTCAGAAAATGTTTCACTTGGTGAAGCGGATTTCAGTCGACTTAACCGAACTCGTTTGCTTCAATCAATTAAAATTTCCACATAACCGGTTTGTTAATTTAAATAAATATTACCTACAAACCAAATATTTTGATTGAATGTTGCAAATTACTTTAATATTTGGTACGATCTACTGGAGTATTTGATGTTACCAATCAGAAGTTATTAACCAACGAATTTTTTTCACGACAATCGAGTATTTGGTTGTTCAGTTAATAACCATATCCTATGGTTGAGTCGACAAAAAAATTGAATAATTGAACAAAACTTTTCTTTGCGTGGCAAGTAGGAAAGATTCCGAAGGCTTAATTTTTTATGCATTCTGAATAAAATTGTAATTATAATATGATAACGGAGGCCGCAGTGAACTTACAATTAGATTCGGAGCTATTACTGAACGGTGCAATAAAATGTATATCTTCATGGAGTCGTTATTGTTACGGAACGTAAGCCACGCACTTGGAAAAATCTATGTTTCGGGCTGTGTAATAATAAAAAGAAAAAATCAGATCAGTGATTCATTTACGTACTTAAATTCAATTTGTAACCCTACAGAGCACGCTGTTCCGTAGATCTAAGTTGGGCTTTTCGATAAAGAAATTTAGTAGGTAAAAAATTGTTTCCCGAGTGTCAGGCAAAGCGTTGGAGGAAGGTAATTGAAAGATAAGTCGATTCTCCAGGAGCATATTTTCGTAGAAAATAGAGAGCAGGTTGATCTACCGATAGACGATGTCCCTGTCGTATCCATCAGCGGAAACTGCATGCGGAACGACAGCAAACCGTATCAGTGTCCGGTCGTTCCGTTGGAACACGCACCGCTCGTATAGCGAACTTTCCCTTCGATATACGAAAAGTACTTTATCACTTCCAGGTTACGAGCAATAAAGGCACAACGGTCTCTCGGTCAGTTCCCAAGTTCGTCCCTGAACCGCGGGGCCAAGGTTCATTTTAACGTATTTAACTGCACAAATAACTGTAAATCCGAATCGGACAATAGATGCATGCACGAAGAGTCGCTTCCGCGGTTGCAGCCAGCTCGCAGAAACAGCCAGCTGGGAGAAATAGCGGATTATTGCCTCAGGGAGGGGTGCACTTCGTGATCGCGTGCCGAATTGCTGGCAATGGATTTTACCAATTTTTATACATGCATTTGCATACACGGAAACACGTCCGGTTTTTTAACGATACCAGCAGACGGCATTTTACAGAGCGCCCGAGTGGGAAAAATGGCTCCTGTATCGTACGTTTAATAGGTTATTGAATTGTTAACGGGTCGTTATTGCTTTGGAGAAATTAAATCAATACAATGGACGAGATACAACGACTCCTAATCGAATCCTAGTTAATTATTTTTGTATTCAATTTTTTGTAACTTTTTTAGGAATGATCGCGACGTATGCGGCATTATAAACACACTTTCATTCCTTCTTTCTTTTTCTTTTTTTCAACCCCTGGCCCTGGACAGGAATCTTGTAAACGTTTCTATAAATCTCGCTCAATCGATTCAGGAAGGAATCCCGATTGAACGGAAGAACTTAAACTGCAGGGGAATTTAATTTGATGGGGAAGAGAATCCAATAACCACATTCTTCAGTGGAATTGAATATTTGCATCCTGTACATATTAACTGCTTTCCGACGTAGGTTGACAATAGGGGACCTCGTGATTTTTCTTTCAAAGTTGCTCGACGGAAAGGTCGAATTCCACGATGTTATATTCGCTTTCGTATTAGACCACCGTTGGGTGATTTACATAAAACGAGTTGGCAGTTTAACGCGTGATTTAGAATCATATACACTTTATTTGTTTATTAATCCTGTTTTCCGCCGGAGTCTCAACTGTAAGAGCTTTCTTATTTCCTTATACGTAGAAATTGAAATCTGATAACGGAAATGGAGCAGTAAAAATATGATATATTCGATACGG